GGGCGGCCGAGGCTGGAGGGGAGGGAGACGTAGAAGCCAGATGGAAGATGGTGGTGGTGGTGGGGGGGGAAATCTTGGGAAAAATGCGACCAGTGAGGAGGATGAGGTTAGAAGTCAAAAGACCTCGCTGCCAAAGCAACAAGTGTGTTTGGTGACAGGGAGCAAGAGGCCAGAATGGGTGTCGTGACCTGCGTGTGACAGGGCCCTCGAGGCCTTGGCAGCCCTGGGGGGTTCATCCGAGCCAGGGACGCGTCTCAGGGGGCATTCGGCTCTAGCGAGACTTGTGAGAACATGGAAGGGCTTATAAATCTGAAAGTCAGGGATGGTGTGCCTCAAGAGGTGCTTGTTTTGTCTCTTCATCCTTTTCTACCATTCAGTGAATGTTTGTTAGAATGAATTGGTTTATGACACAAAGCCTTTCCCTTCCCGCCTGTCCTTGCTAGGTTTTATCCTTTTGCTGTCCCTTTATATTAGTTTATGAAGCTTCTGCGCTTGCAGTTGTTTTATGACAACTGTTCCACTTCTACCCTGCTTACTGCTTTGTCATTTTTCTCTCTGTGCGTTTTCTGTTCCTGTGATTGTTTTTGCTTTTTTTTTTTCTCACTCTTGACCTCATTGGTTTTGAATTTCTGCATTCTTTTTGCCCTCTCGGTCCCACAGTTTGATTTTGTTTTTTCTCCTTCAGAGTCGCCTGCTTACTCATTCCTCTTCTCACATGTTGTTCATTCTCCCACTAAGTTGCTCCTTCATTCATTTTTTTTCTTTTTGAAAGTTACTAATCGAGTCTCCTCCTGACACTTGCTCAGTCCTTCACTTTCACATGCTCTGTAGCGCTGAGGAAAAATTAGAAAAGCAAGATATTGAGAAGTACAGAGCCTGTGTGGGATCTGGCTGCCCATGCAGGGTCTCTTCATAACCATCTCTTGTCTCTCTGCGCACACAAGCACGTGTACAACCACACATGTATATCTAGGTAGCTGTATAGAGGGAATAATACAGTTCTATATACTGAATTTTATAGGGTACCTATGATTTTAATGAAGAGATTCACACAGAGGAAACACAAGTACTTAACTGACTGAAAGTACACGGGCTTCAACACTAGTTGAAGGTTTTCTGCTAAGTATTAGCTGGGAAAAAAAGTGCTTGGAGGAGAATAACTTCAAGCACTAGTCGTGTGACATAATGGGATAAAGGGAACTGATATGAAAGACAGGGCAAATATGATTAGTGAAAGGTAAAAAATAGGGATATCATCAAAATAGAAAATGAAAGTGCCCAGCAGTAACATAGCTATTGATATAAGGGGGGAGGGGGAGAAAGAATGAGCCTATGACAAAAAAAATTAAGAAAATTTTGAAAAAATAGCCAGGAAATCAGTCTGTTATAGTTGTTTTTTTTTTTTTTTTGACAGTAAGACTAAAAAAGAGGTTAACCGTGGCCTTTAAAATAAGGAGAATTTTAACTCCATCAGTTAAGTTTTTGATTTGGAGGAACAAGGGAGAGGTCAATAGTAGAAAACAAGCCTCCACAGAAGGAAAGACACACTTACTAAGAAAATAATTGTACGTTCTTCAAGAGATTAAAATGTTAAAACCAAAGTGAGGTTTTAGAAATGTTTTGGGATTCTAAGAGAAACAGAGGAATCTAGAGAATGGAAATAAGGTTGGCAGGATGAGCTACAAGAAGCAACCAAAGAAAAGTGCTATTTGCAGAAATGAAATACTTCAGTAGTATAATTATTGTTTTTGAAGTTCTCATCCAATCTAGCTGTAAGATTGTGGCAGGTTAAAAATGCCAAAAGTATTAGCTAGAGGATCTCTGCTAGTTAGATGCTCAAGCAACAAAATCACTGGTTGGGATTAGATTAGAGCCACTGGTTTTCTAGCCAGCTTTTAGCTAACTGTTAATAATCGAAAGAGGGGTAATTTATTATATCATAAAAGGTCAAGTATGTTAACAAACACGGTAACACAATTTTCTTTTTGTTTAAAGCCCTCTGGGAAGAATAACATACATATCTATTAGGATTGCAGATTCTGCACAGTTTTTGTAAAATCCATTTTGTGATTTATTTAATATGATTTATTTTATTGAAGTATCTTTGTAAGGAATGTATCAACTGGGTTTAGAAATGAACTGTGTTTTGAAATAATACTAAAAGATTGGTATGTCTAAATAAATATTTCTTAGTGAGCGTTTTAAGTATTCCTCTGGAGAGATGTAGAAAACAGCAATAAGAGATTGCGTTATAGTCTTGATCCCTTACTCCATTAAGGTTTTATCACTTTGAAGTTGACCTGATGCGACCCTAACAGTTGTGGTTAATTCTGTAATACATAGTTGGTAACTGGGTAGAGAATAGGCTTATATTAGAGATGGCAACCAATAGCAAGATACTGAAGGAGCTAGGAAAATTTATCTCGGTTTATCTGCAAAAAGGCATATTAAAATGTAGCATTGGGTATGGTCTAAGATTTATCCAGCATTATTTGTTAGCAGGTTCCCAATTTCCATTTAACAGTCTTTAAAAAGCTGGCTCAAACACTGTGATTGACAAAAACATTTTGATTTTTACATTCTGAAACTATATATGCGTCAGATTTAGACGTAGATTTCAAATAGACCAACGTTTGTGATCATTTTGAGCTGTGCTTGGGATCGCTTGCTAGTATCCTTCTATGATTAGGGTGGCACATCATCACTCTTCTGTAGTTTCCGTGTGTTTAAACTTTTGTTTGTTTTATAAAGTTTATTGAGGGAGATAAGATCCCAGAACTAAACGGCTCTGACAAAAATGTATACGTTCCACATCAGGTGGTTCACTGCGTTACCAGTGCTTACCTTTCAGAGAAAGAGAAGGTAGATATATAGAACAAAAAAGCTCAATCAGTATAACTAGTAGGAGTTGTTTGGGACAGAAGAGTGTACATAACTGGTGTGATGTTAGTATAGTTTATTGTAGAAGGCAGCTAAGGGTCAATATAAAGCCTTTGCCTTTGATTAGGCCAAAGAACCTATTGTTATGTATGATTCTCTTCCTTCTGCAGGCACAAATTTTGTGGCCTTCCTCCTCTCCCCACATAAAAACAAAAAACCTTGAGATTTATATATTAAGATATTCTCTTTACACCTTTAGATGTAGTTTGTGTTCATAGTATCTTTTCTGTGGGATGTGAAAGTCATTGTGGTACAGCGAACTGGATTTTGTCTTTTTACCTCCAAGTATGCGGCTTTTCCGAAAAGGAACTGTAAAATACTACTGTGGTAGTCAGAATTTACTGAATCCTAGTTACATCATGAGCAAAATATGTAGTATTAAGAAAAAGACAATTCAGCCCAGAATTGGTAAGTCAAGCTGAGTCTATTCTTACCTGTATATCACCAATAATAATAAAGTGCAGAACACGTCAAAAGCATTGATTTACAAAAGCGTGTAAACTTGCATTTTATATATTCTTGAGCGTCTGTCATACTTCTAATACCACCTGAGTCTTTATACTACCTTCTTGCTGTGAATATTCTTTTCAGGCTTTCACTTTTGTGGCAGCGCTGTCTTTGGATTAAGTATTCCTTTGTGGAAGATTTGTTTCATATGCATAAGGCATATTCAGAACCTGGAAGAAAGTTCATATAGTAGTAAAGAAACACTGGTATGACAAACAACTCAGTTTTGTACTTATTACTCAGAAGAAAACTTGGTATTTCTAACTTTTTTTTTGTTGTTGTATGTTTTCTTACTATGTAAAAACCACTGTTCCTTTACAATTATCAGTAATATGGATTGTTCTCTGGGTAGGGGAATGCAGATGATTGATAGTTTTAATTAGCATTTAACATTACATGTGTTGTATTTGAAATTTTAAAAATATATATGCAGTGTCTCAGCAATTTGCTTGCAAGATGTGTTCCTTCAGCAAGAAGCTTAAGGTTTATATCCTCAAGTCACAATATGACTCCATTCAGGATTGCATTTAATCATATGTTTCTCTTGTTAATGCCATTGAAGCGCTTTCTTAAAGCTGGGTTCCTTAACTAGGATCCTAGATCTGTCTGATGCATTTTGACCATTCTTTTATTTTAATTCTTCCTTAAAAAAGACTTACTCCTAGCTTACAGCTGTTATTTATCAATGCAGTAATGTTCAT